CTACAGGCACGTGCTACCACACCCAGCTAATTTTTTAATTTATTGTAGTCTGTGCTCGGTGGCTCAGCCTGTAATTCCGTGCTTTGGGAGGGCGAGGTGAATGAATTGCCTGAGCCTGCGAGTTTGAGACCCGCCTGGGCGACTTGGAGAGACCTCATCTCTACAATAAATTAAAAAAATTAGCCGGGTGTAGTAACGCACGCCTGTAGTTCCAGTTATTTGGAAGGCTGAGGCAGAAGGATCGCCAGAGCCCAGCAGGTTGAGGCTGTGGTGGCTGGGAGCGTGCCACTGCACTCCAGTCTGGGAGACAGAGTGAGACTCCAACTCAAAAAAAAAAATTTATTGTAGAGACGAGGTCTCACCATCTTAACAGCCCAGGGTGGTCTCGAACCTGCAGGCTCAGGCATTCCTCTCACCTCAGCCTCCCAAAGCTTGAGTCACTGTGCCAGCCCCCAATTTTTTTTAAAACATTAGCTGAGCATGGTGATATGCACCTGTAGTTCCAGCTACTATGGAGGCTATGATGTGGGAGAATCATTTGAGCCCAGGAATTTGAGGCCACAGTGAGCTATAATCATACCACTGCACTCCGGCCTGGGCGGCAGAGGAAGATCCTGTCTTTAAAAACTAAAAAGTAAAAGGGGAAGGCAAATATACGTGTGCTTATATTTTTAGAAAAAAGCAACAGAAGGATAAATGCAGAACTAAGTAAAATTGTTACCTCTAGGGATGAGCAGGGGAGGATTGGGCAAGGTAGCAAGACCCCTCTGAGAGCAAGGCGTGGTATTATGCTTCTGACTTTGAAATCGAATGTTTTCTATGATTAACAAGCAAAATTTAAAGAAAAATTTAAGTTAAAAACAACAAAACAAAATATGCCTGAGTATTGAGTTGGTGGAAAAAACACGCTAAGAACCATTTCAAGTGACTTTGAAATGGTCTTTTTACTATACATCCCTAAAAGGATAAAAACAAAAAGGATAAAGAAATATCAAATTATTTTCAGTAGCCTTGTTAGTAAAAATATTGGCAATGTTATTTCAAAATCATTATCTATAATAGGAAAGCAAATAAGTTAATGTCACTAGGAAACACAATTTTCACTGTGTAAGCCATGGAGACATCAATTTTTAACAAGCAAAAACCTGTAATCTCTAATATTAAGTGAAAATATTAGTATGGACTCATGTTTGATTTTCTCTTCCTAAAAAAATTTTTTTTTGGCTGGGTGCAGGGGCTCAATGCTTGTAATCCCAGTCCTTAGGGAAGCCAAGGAGGGAGGATTGCCTGAAGCCAGGAGTTCAAGACCAGCCTGGGTAATATAGTAAAATCCTGTCTCTAATTTTTTTTTGTCTTCCCTGGCTCTGGTCTCTGAAAACATGCAGAACTGATGGAAACCTGGGTGTAAGGTGTGTCCTAGTCCCAAAGTGGGTTCTCTCTGAACCATGGCCCATTAAGTAAAACTCCATCAAGGATTAGCGGGGTCAGACCGGGCATGGCGGCGCATGCCTGTAATCCCAGCACTTGGGAGGCTGAGGTGGGAGGATCACTTGAGCCCAGGACTTTGAGACCAGCCTTGGCAACATAGAACTCATCTGTATACACACATACATGCACACACATACACACACACATTAGCTGGGTGTGGTGGCATGCACCTGTAATCCCAGCTATTCAGGAGGCTAAGGTGAGAGGATCACCTGAGCCCAAGAGGTCGAGGCTGTGGTGAGCCATGATCTTGCCACTGCACTCCAGCCTGGCTGACAGAGTGAGACCCCAACTCAAAAAAAAGGGGCTATATCAAAATGACTCAGGAGCCACTGTCTCGGGACCTCCATACCCACAGTCCCCATGAGATAATTTGAACATCAAAAAGAACAATGACTGCAGTGGATTGAGACACATCACATATACATTTTTAAATCAGTGAGATCGCAAAATACTACAAACAACCACAAACCTCATAGAACGTCAGCGTCTCCTGATAATGGGTAAATGTAAGAATTGTCTCTATGTTTTATTTTAAGGTGACCATATGGGTAATATAAGGGAAAGTTCTTTGGAGATTTTATTTATTTATTTATTTATTTTTAAATTTTTTTTTGAGTTGGAGTCTCATTCCATCACCCAGGCTGGAGTGCAGTAGCATGCTCACGGCCACTGCAGCCTCAACCTGCTGGGCTCTGGCGATCTTTCCTCCTCAGCCTTCCAAGGAGCTGGAACTACAAGGGCCAGCTACCATGCCCGCCTAATTTTTAAATTTTATTTATTGTAGAGACAAGGTCTCACCATGTTGCCCAGGCTGGTCTCAAACCCGCAGTCTCAGGCAATCCTCTCGCCTCCGCCTCCCAAAGTGCTGGGATTATAGGCTTGAGCCATCGCGCCCAGCCTGACACTTTTATTTTTTAAGTCAGGATCTTGTTCTCTCGCCCATGCTGGGGTGCAGTGGCACGATCACGGTTCACCGCAGCCTCCACCTCCTGGACTCAGGCGATCCTTCTGCCTCAGCCTCCTGAGTAGTTGAAACTACAGGCATGCGCCACCACACCTGGCTAATTTTTAAAACAATTTTCTTGTAGAGACACTGTATGGCCCAGGCTGGTCTCCGACTCCTGGGTTCAAGCATTCCTCCCGCCTCAGTGTCCCAAAGAGCTGAAATTACAGGCAGGAGCCACTGAGCCCAGCCTAGAGATTTTTTTTTTAAAGAAGAACCTGAGCCCACACATGTGAAGAAATGATAGCATCTGGAAAATCGCTCCTTTGCAACTCTCAGTGAAGTCATGGCTCTAGGAAACGTTCATGGATTACTACAGCCGTTTGGGCCACCAAGACCTCGCAACATGAGGGACAAGCAGACATTCGGCCCCTGAAGCCTTTAGAGGACAAAACAGTGACAAAGGACCATGTTAAATGCCATGCAGGGAAATCCAGCCAACTCCAGTGCTTGGAAAATTCCGTCAGATAAACGACCCAGTTTCTTTGATCAACAACACAGGGGTGGGAGGAGTGAATGGGAGCTGGATTTTTCTAGAGTAAAAAAGAGCCAAACACAACTGCATCCGGATTTGAACTAACCAACTGTAAAAGGCATTCTGGAGACAGCAGGAGAAAGCTTAAATGAAGACTGGGTCTTTTTTTTTTTTTTTTAAAGCCCTCGTCGGTCAGATTGTGCACTGAAATATTTATGGGTAAACTGATAGGGTCTGGGATTTCCTTTCAGATCCTCCAATCACTCCCTCCCTCTAGCCCCCTGCAAGGGAAAAAAATGAGATTTGGGAGGGTTGTGAGGAGCCAGCTCCTGCTGGGTTGGGAGAGGTGATTGTGAAACCTTCAGGAATTTTGTCAGCCGGTTGTCAAACCTTGCTCTTACTGGAGCTGGCCTCGCCGTGCTGGGAATATCTCAAATACTGCAGGCCTGGGGCGTTCTTATTCCCAGAGCCAGCTTGTCAACCTGCCATAGGTCCAGGATAAGCTGAACCAGAGAGGACAGCGTGGACCACCTTGTCCATCCTATCTTGTGTTTGGTGGGCATTTTCCAAAGAGTTTACAAAGGGCACGTCCTTGGGCCTAGAAATCCCACTTCTAAGAATTTATCCTAAAGTAGGTTCTGTCATTCAAAGGACTCCCACCACTTAGCTACAAAGACACCGATTAAAGTGTTGCTAAAAATAGTCTTATTCATGTAAGCAACCCAAATATCAAAAAGGAATTAGCTTTCAGCTTTGCAAGATGAAAGGGTTCTGCGAATGTAGCTGTACAACAGTGTGAATATACTTCACGTTATTGAAATGTACACTTAAAAATGGTTAAGATGGTCAGTGTTATGCTCTGTGTCTCTTACCGCAATTAAAATTTTAAAAGCAGACCAGACGCAGCGGCTCACGCCTGTAATCCCAACGCTCTGGGAGGCCAAGGTGGGAGGATCGCTTGAGCCCAGGAGTTCAAGACCAGCCCGGGTAACATAACGAGACCTTGTTGCTACAAAAAATTGAAAACGATTAGCCCGGCATGGTGGTGCGTGTCTGTCGTACCAGCTGCTCGGGAGGCTGAGGCGGAAGGATCACCTGCACCCAGGAGGTCAAGGCTGCGGTGAGCGCCATTGGGCCACTGCCCTCCATCTTGGGTGACAGAGCAAGACCCTGATTCAAACAACAACAACAAAAAATGTTTTTAAGGAAAGGGATTGGCTCCATTAAACAATGGAATATGGTTAGAAATTAGGTCGCGGAAGAAAATATAGTGATGAGGGAAAATAAGGGTGATCCTGTTAAGTGAAAATGCAAGAAGGAAAGCACGTGACAAAACCGTGTGTTCAGCTTCATTGCATTTGGGTAAATTAAAAAACGCGGGCGCTTTAGAGCCAGGCTGGAAGGGCGCCACCCCTCGGGAGTGTGCCACACTAACAGATATGCTCGTGGGAGTGTCACGGAACCCATGCTGTGGGCATCCACGTCTCACGGATGTGGAAAGGGAGTCTGGGAGAGGGACAGAGGCCGGCAAGGCAGAGCAGGGCCTAGACCTCCTCTTGGCCTCTCCCCGCAGGGCCTGTCCTGGGGTATCCTCTTCCCCCGCCCCCACCCCCCAGGCCTGTCTTCTCAGTTTTCTAGAACAGCAGGGCGACTTGCCATGAGGACAAGGCCGTGCTGTAAGGCTGGCACGTGTGTTGCAGGCTGTTGATGGAGACGGGGGCGGATGACAGCCGGGACAGTGGTCATCACCGGGGGCATCTTGGCGACTGTGATTCTCCTCTGTATCATCGCAGTTCTGTGCTACTGTCGACTCCAGGTACTCCCCAGGGGCAGGGAGGCTCAGAGGGTGGCCCTTGGAGGGAGTGACCCCCCCATTGAGGCTACGAGGGTGGGGGAAGGAAGGGGGGAAGAGCCAGGCGGCAGAGAAGGCACGCAGCAGACTGCCCTGGCCAGGACCTCACCTGAGGGGCTCAGCCATGATGCCTGGCTCCCCTGAGTTTCAGGGAGGGGATGAGACTTGACCAAGGGCAGCAGCTGCCCCCAGGAGAGCAACAGTGAGCTCTTCCTTCCCCACCTGCAATCCAGGGCCCTCTGAGGCACCCATACCTTCCTGAGAGAGGGGGAGAGTCCAGTGACACCCAGCTCTGCCTGACCCCTCTGTGCCTCAGTCTCCCGACCCATGCTCCAGGGCCCTCCGAGGCACCCATGCCGTCCTGAGAAAGTGGGGAGAGTTCAGTGCCCATGACGCCCAGTTCTGCCGACTTCAGGCTACCCGACCCCTCTGTGCCTCAGTTTCCCCACCCACACTTGGAGATGAATCACCCCTGCTGAGTGTTGCTGCTCGATACCCCATTGGGGGACCCCACCAGCCCCCAAACCGTGATGAAGCAGCCGGGTCGTCTGAGCCGGGCACCGCCCTCTCCCCCGGGCCCGGCTGGGAGGGGACCGCGCGGTGACCGTCCCTCTGCCCACAGTACTACTGCTGCAAGAAAGACGAGTCGGAGGAGGACGAGGAGGAGCCGGACTTCGCGGTGCACGCACACCTGCCGCCGCTGCACTCCAACCGCAACCTGGTGCTGACCAACGGGCCGGCGCTGTATCCGGCCGCCTCCACGTCCTTCAGCCAGAAGTCCCCGCAGGCCCGCGCGCTCTGCCGCAGCTGCTCCCACCGCGAGCCGCCCTCCTTCTTCCTGCAGGAGCCCTCTGAGGACGAGGACGTGGTCAACGGCGGGGAGCGTGTCCTCTACAGGAGCCTCAGCCAGGAGGACGTGGAGCCGCCCCCCGGGGGCTTCGGGGGGCTGCAGGCCCTCAATCCCAACCGCCTCTCGGCCATGCGGGAGGCCTTCGCCCGCAGCCGCAGCATCAGCACCGACGTGTGAGCGCCTGCCCCGGGGGGGCCTGACGCCCTGGTGAGACCCTCATGGTGTGCCCACCTGGCCTGGCCTGGCCAGGCCTGGCCGGGCCGTGGGCTGGCGTGCCTGTCTTCGGGGGACCCTGGGCTCACTGTGGGCTGAGGCTCCTTGACCACAGGCGTGACCCGCAGGAGAGGGGTCACCAGGGCTGGAAGGAAGGCCAGCAGCTGTAGGACAGGGTGGGGCGGGGCCAGGCACTAGCCGGGGCAGTTGGGCACAGAGGCCACCGTGGCGCCTGATGCCGCAGGTTGGTGGGAAGTCACCCTCTCGGCCCCAGTGACTTAGCCATCCCGGGGCACCTTGGCGTGCCCCTCCCTCCCTGGGCCTCAGCCTTCCGACCTGCTCAAGGAAGGGGGACCCCAGCGATGCCAGAGGGCCCGTAGCACGGCCTTCCCTGGAGCCCTCGAAACCGAGGACTCTGCCCTCTACCCTGACCTTGGCGGCCCTTTCTCTCTCCCTAGCCTCCCTCTTTCTCCCTTTCTCCATCTTCCTCTTTCCTTCTCTCTCCCTTCCTCTCTCTCTTTTTCTCTCCCTTTCCCCCCTCCCCCGGCCACTCCAGGTTCCAAGGGCCAAGTGTCTGCCTGGGCCGAGACCCTGCTGTGCCAAACCCCCTGCAGATGGCAGGTCTCCCCTAGCAGGGAGCATTCAGGGCAGCAGGGCAGCAGGGCCCTTGGGGCACTCGGCTCCAGTCCACCGGCTTTCTGGCAAAGGGGTCACGGGGAGAGGGGAGAGGCCACGTCCCAGCCCACCCGCCTTGGGAGTGCCAGTGCTGGAATGCACATGCACAGTCCTAGCTCTGAACAGGCGCAAGGAGCAGAACCCCAAGGAGGAAGGCTGGGGCATGCCAGGTGGGCAGAGCCGCAGTCCAGGGTGAACAGATGCCCTAACTCACCGCGCCAGCCAGACGGCCTTCCCGCCCCAGGTCCCGTCTCCCCGTCGTGGGCCGAGGGCTGATCTCAGAGCCCTCCAAGCTCTGGTCCTCACGGAACTGAGGGAGGTAGAGCCCGGGTCCCCTGATGCCTGCTTCTCAGCAGCGTCCAGGATGGGGCCCAGCCAAGCCCCTGCCCCGCGCCCCCAGGCCCAAGCAGCAAGGATTCGCTGCTCCTGTGTGAAGACCTCACCTGAGCCCGCATCCACCAAGCTCCAACTTAGGCCAAAGCCTCCCAGGAGTCCCACCCCCCTCTGCAGCCCTCTCCCTCTGCTGAAGAAATGATGTCGGGACCACCCCAGAGAAGTACTCCAAACCCAGGGGCCCCAGCCACTGGGAAGGCAGCTGCCCCTACCCGAAAGAGGCAATGCTTTCTCGCTCAGCAGTCCGGCCCCAGGGGCCCCTCATTCTCTCCCGGGCCGCCATGGAGCCCCGGGGGTGGGGCAGCCTCTCTCTGCCAGGAAAGGCTGACCAAGCTCCCCAGCTAAGGCGCCTTCCTAAAAGGCAAGGCTTGAGGGCCCATGGCCTTCCCTGAGACGGGGCAGCCGGGGCAAGGCACTTACTGCTCTTACTCAATGAGTTCCCGAGAGGTCTGTCTGAAAACTAGAGACGACGTCCTATTTTTGGCATTCTCCGTTTTTTCCCTCTTCTTCCTCCTCCTGCCTCCCTTGGACATGCTAACTGATTCATCCTCAAGGCCCCTGCTCCCGGGGGCCCACCCACACCTCCGCCCCCCACCCTCTGTCCATCCTTGTGGAGTCTGTTTCTGATGCATCCGCTTGGGGGGTGGGCGGGGTAGGGGCGGGGGTGGGGGCCAGGAGCCAGCACTTCCTGTGGCTGTTCTCTTCCCACTTCCTCCTTCCTTTCCAGTCTCTGTCCTCCCTGTAGTAGACGCGTAGATCTCTCTGAGACGAACTAAGTCCCACCCCAATTCATGCCACTCCGTCATGGGGACCCGCTGGGGGAGCTGCCGGCTTCCCAAGAAAACTAAACACCAATAAAACTGACCTCCCACACGTGTCTGCTGGTCTCGAGTCCACCTGGGGGTCCTGCTCTGGAGTTTCCTAGAAGGGGGCATGTCCAGCCTCGTGCTGGCAGGCAGTGGGCCCTTGCTCTCAGTCCGACCCAGCTGGCAGGGTCAGGGTCTGCCCAGCAGTGCGGCAAGCTGCTGTCTGCCAAGGGGTACCACCGCATGCCACATTTGATTTAGAGTTTCCTGGGCGGCTCCCATCGTCGCCTCTGCTCTTCCCGACATGCAGGGGTTGGCTGCTGTGCTCCTTAACTGAGGCTTGGGTTGCCACGAACGCCCGCCGGCTCCCTGCAGGCCACCCCACGTTCCCCCTGCGGGTCTCTCGCCTGCTGATGACGGGCTTGAGATGTCAGCTCTGCCGGACTCCAGCACGGAGTCTGGATGCCCCCAGGCGCCCTCTCTACACGCGCCCCTCCTCGCACGGCCTTTTGCCTGCTGTCTCCGCCTGACTCTGGCCCTCAGAATAGGTGCTGCAGCCCTGCACACCCATCCCTGCACCTGAGGCCTCAGTGGGTCCTCTGGGCCCCCAGGTCGTCCACCCCACTGGCCCGAAGCAACTGAGACCCTCACGATGCCGTCATAAATACGACCACTTTATTAACATACACGGATGAGTACTGACGATGACTACAGGGACGAAGCCCACTGCCCATACCCAAATGCCTGGTGAGGAAGACTGCCTCTCGCCAGGCATAAAGTGCAGCAGTCCCTCCGTGCCCGGATGGCGGAGGCAGGGCAGCGCTGCGTCGTGGGATTCAACTCCTCCGCAAGGGCTCCGCCTAGCCCCTCTTCAACCCCAGAACCCCCGAGACAGGGAGGCCTGCCCCCGTCGGACTCAGCTGCAAGTCTCCTTGAGAAGGCCGCGCCATCCCCAGGGGCCGTGGACTGTGGGCGGCCGCGGACCGGCACCTCCACCCCGGCTTTGGGCGGTGGGATCCCCAGACCCAGGGTTCCCACAGGAAGACACAAGTTCTCAGCCTGGGGCTCTGCCCCAGGGAGCGCAAAGGCCCCGGGGCTGCAGAAGTCCCTTCTCGATGGCCGAGGCTCAGTGTCATCTCAGGGCGCCCTGCAGGACGGTGTCTGAGGAGGGCCCCGGATGCTGCAGTGGCCCCGGGCGGGGCGCTCGGTCTCAGTCTCGAGGGGGTTCGGCTGCCAGGCCTAGGAGTGAGGGGGCCTGCAGGAGCGGCAGCACGCCTTGCTGTAGTACCAGTGACCGCAGAGGTTCACCTTGATGGCCAGGGCGCAGTTGGTGCCTGGCTGGTCCTGGCAGCTGTCGTCTGAGGAAGGAACCCGGGTGGCGTGGGGTGGGGGGGGGTCAGGAGGCGGCCAAGGGGTACGAGCCCCACAGGACCCCCAGGCAGCCCACTCGCTCTCCTCAAAGGGCAGGGGGCAACAGAGCACCTGTGGACAGGTGGACCCAGCACCCATCTCCAGCTGAAGGGACGGGGTCCTCCCGCCCCCTCTGCGGTACTTTCTGCCCCCGCCAGCCTCAGGATGTCCTGCATTCCC